GAGGGTTGATGTCAGGCAGGCTTCTTGTAAAAACAATTAGCCAAAACTGTTCACAACATGTAAGGCAGATCCTGGCTAAAGCTGGGAGATTGCCAGGAAGAAGAAGACTATAAATAACGAAGATTTATTAATGATAAACTATTAACGCTACGTGTAGTGACGAACTTCTGATACGCAAGAAATATTTATAGAGAAAATTTTAATATACTAAATACATTAATATTGCAACAAATAGTTAATTATTACTAAGTTTATACCCGGTTCAACTAATATTAACGGTTTAAATTTAATTCTTAAACCATTTCTATAATAAAACCTTCTTACGAGACCAAATGAAAATCTTTTAAATCTTTAAAAACTTGTATAATATATATGTATGAAACAAAAATAAATTAAATAATCCATATTAATGAACTTGAAACCCTTTAATTAATGTTAAAGTAATAAAAATGTTAAATTCAATGAGTTTTTAACATACCGGGGTAATAAAGCATAACAATGTCTAATTTTACCCTTTCGGTAAGATGCGCTTACTACCGGCCGACTGTTACACCGAACACTTTTATATTTATGAAAATTATTAACTAATTTACGTATATAATATATTAAATATATATATTTTTTATATATTCGGTCATATTATAAATAATTTAAATAGATTTATAAAGAAAAAATTAAAATTAATTATATTAAATTTGGATTGGTAATTATTTTAACATATATATAAATATTCACAACATGTAAGGCCCTGGCTAAAGCTGGGAAATTGCCAGGTAGAATAAGAAGAAGATATATAAACTAAATTTGCTTATATAAATATTTTTAATAAAGTTATATCAAGTTAAATTCCCAGTTAAATTCAGCGGTTAGTCTAATATACGTAATATTATTAGTTAAACCGTAAGACCGGGCCGGGTTGTGGTTGTAAAGTTTAGATCTTATCACCAAGTGGCCATCTGGTTGGTAGACATAAATTAAACCATCAAGTTAAGGGTTAGAACCGAATACTATGTATTATGGTTCAACCCATATATAATCATCAAAAATTTTAACGTACGTATACAGATATAAACAGGGTGACTGGTGAATTACTATCGATATTTGAGGACGTGATAATATGTATAACATAAATATTAATAAACTTCTGAGTAAAGTCAACCAAAAGTTATGTAATTAATTACGCATCGTGTGAACACCCTAAATATATAGTCATGTTAGTTATACTATTTATAACTCAAGAACGACTGTGATCATTTGGATTGAAATTATTGAAAAGATAGATTGAAATAAGGAAAGGATATAGGATATTTTTCTTCTTTAAGGCAATTTCCCAGCTATAGCCAGCCTGCCTTACATGTTGTGAATAGTTTTGGCTAATTGTTTTTACGACCGACCGCCATAGATATCAACCCTCTTTGGAAAAACATAGTATATTTTTCATTAGATTGAAAATGAAAAAATAATTTGATCAAATCCAAAATCTTATCTACTGTCTTTAAAAAAGAATAGAGTTCGCCCGGTCAGTTATTTCTGATTCTGAAACTAACGCAGACAAAGTCGTTATCAAAAGCTAGTTAATAAAAAATATATATATACATACTATTTTATCTTCTTCTACCTGGCAATTTCCCAGCTATAGCCAGGGTCTGTCTTACATGTTATAATAGTTTTGGCTAATTGTTTTTCGACCGGCCGCCGTACATCAACCCTCTTTGGGCAGATACTATTTTGTATTTAAATATATATTTATATTTATTTTCTTATAATATTATGACAATGAACTACACAAGTAGTTTAAGTAAAGGATTTGAGTCAGTGGTGTTAGTTACGTAGATCACGCTTGACCGATTTTAAAAACACCAGGCTATCATGTTACAGACATGATATTCACCTTATGATACTTGTTAAATATTTAAAATATTATAATCGTATAAATATTAAAATTAAAAGGAAGATACTTTCTTGTTAATATGAATAAAAAATAAATTAAATTAGATATTTATTTTATTATTAATTTGTATGGAAAAATGATCCTAGCCCTGTCAAGTACCAGTGATTTTTCCGAGTCATATGTACTTAAGAGTATTTAGACACCACTGATTAATGCATTCCCAAAGAGGGTTGATGTCAGGCGGACCGGTCGTATAAAGAAATAGCCAAAACTATTCATATCATGTAAGGCAGACACTGGCTAAAGCTGGGAGATTGCCAGGTAGAAGAAGAAGCAGTAGTTTGTTTGCACCCTCATATAAAGTTTTATATATATTACTAGATAAGACATAGTTTTAAATATATTCCTAATTTTTATTCTTTATATATCTTAATATCTTACCTCTATACTATTAATCCTCTAATTTGTTTCCTAAATAATTAGTTTTATACGATCAAGTATGTAGTAACAATTATCATTCTTACGTCAATACCGACGGTATGATCGTATGTGGTATTTTTTTTATTCGTATTTAATTTTCTGTATGGGTGAATCTCTTTCATTGTAGAAGCACTACTGAGTACAATTTTAGTACTTCAAACTAAATGAGGGAAGTTGATAGTTCATTCATTAATTTTATATGTAAAAGAAAGTAGTGTTAGTTACACTATTTATAACTCAAGAACGGCTGTACGGATATGGTTAAAAATTAGTTGAGAGATAGATTAGAACAAGGAGACGGACATAGGATATTTAATTTTGCTCGATCGAAAAAAAAGCTGAATAAATTCCAATATTTGGTTATGTATCAGTAATACATATATTACTAATTCCGATATAAACGCGGACGAAGTCGCGGGCAGAAACTAGTTTATTATATTGTTTTAATATATTTTATTGAATGGAAAACGAAAAAAAATGCGTCGAGAAACTTATAGTAATAAACTTTAACTAGGTAAAGAACAGTGCAATTAATTTTTGCTTTATTTTTAACAAGTAACTATTTAGTAAGAGTTTTTTCAACTTAACACTTACATTTCAGCGTTAATTATTAAATATTCTTGTATAATTCAAATACTATTATACTGTCAGTTTGCAGTCAAATGTTAAGAATACTAAAGATATGATCTCAAAAACTACTTAATAAACTTATCTAACAATCATATATTTCATTTAAATGAACACATATAAAGGTATTTACATTTAAATGTTCGTAATATATTCAGTGATAAAATAAAATCCGTTTCAATACACATGTTTTAAACATCCAAGTGGCAATCGTACGAATGATTGCTGGAGGCGGCCGATCAACAAATTATTTGAATGTACTCGTATACCGATGATATCTGTACTACTGACACGATACTACTATTTGTGATAAACTACGTTTTATTTTAATAAAACTAGGCCATTTTGTTATATGTTTTATCATTTTAAACTTAAAATTAAATTAATTACGTCAATTTTATGACATATGTCATTCATGCAATATAATTTAAGATTTTTGTAATGAAATAAAGATAATATTAAACCTTTTTGTGGTAAATATTAAGTTATGAATATAAATGTTTTTATTTTAATCCGTAAATAAATTTCTTTTGTATATATTATATGTCAATGTCATTAATAAATGTCAAAATCATTAGTAATCTGTCAAAGTACGTCAAAATTATTATGGAGTTCTGAAAAATATTTAATGTATCTTTGAAAGGAAAGGATAATATTAAAATGACTCTTCTTATATGTAGAATATAAATAACTAGAAGTTTGAGTTCTAAATACTGATATTTTGTTTACGATTTTATGCTTTCGGTAACCACGCGTGCTAAAATAACCGAAACGTCGGTTTAAATGTTAAATAATGTAACAAATACGGGATGTTTAACCGAAAATCATAGTTTTAATTACTTGTGAAAATATTACTCATAATTATCAGTGTTTTATACTTAAGAAAAAACCGTATATTTATATATGAGAAACGTCGAAACTGATAGTATTTAGTTTCTTCATAGGAACTCGTACTAATCTAAAAAATACAAGCTTGTTCTTAATCTTAGATACAATAAACGGTTTTTTTTATATGCTTTCTATTTTGTATATAACCGAGCTCTTGTTACCCCTATTACCCGTGGCAGGGTAAAAGGGGTAACAAAGGTAACAAGGGTAACAGCGGTAACGCCTTTATTTTAAATCCAGTTCAAGCTCTTCAATCATCTATATCCTAAATTACGCCACGAATTTTCCTTCAACTAAATATATATATAATATTAAATTTCTATAATAATAATATTAAAACAGTTTTCATCCAAGCATATAATGTCTTAATCGTCTAATCTGTGTAACTTGAAGACAGGGAGTCATCTATTATTCAAATACTTAAATGCGTTATTCCTCTTAGGACGCTCCCGGGAGGAAAGATTATATTAAGAGGGTCTCGGTGAATAAGTAAAAATATTAAGTATTTAACCATTTTATAGGATCAGACTTTATTTTTTTGTTGTTTGGGAAAATGGTGAATTGATACGGTTTATTTTGTATGGATTAAATCTTTTTATTCTGTTGTTCATATCTATTTAATAACTTTATACTACTTATACCTTACTTATATGTATACTAGCTGACCCAGCGAACTTCGTACTGTCCGTATAATCAAGAAATATCTGTTCCCTTTTTATGTGAATGAAGTTAATTTCTTTATTAATTATAACTGATTTTTTCTCCTAATAATAACAAATACAACAAAACAAGATTTAATTAAATCGGTCCAGCCATTCACGCTTGATGCCGTGATCAATGGAAAAAGGGATTCATTTATATATATAGATAATTATAATAAGAATTACATAATAAAACTTATAACCTATATATAAGACTACATGATTGTCCCGATGTTATAATAGCAATACCATTCCATAGCTTGTGTGTATCAGGAATCTTCTAATTCACACTACTTGGTATATATTTCATCCATACAACGATATTACCCCGGCGATGTTCATTTATTTTTTTACTATATATAATATAATAATTTATTCTTTCATTCAGATAAGTGAAATGCATTAGAAGCAAGATGGATTCGCCTGTATCGTCTCAAGATAACGACATCGAAGTCAACGTTGTGTCAGGAGCTAGTAGCCCTGATATAACATCGTCACCTTCTAGAAAGGACCAGAAGAGTCCGTTCTATGATCTCAAGAAGGATAAAGAAGATAAAGCGAGTGGAAGCGCTCCATATACCAGTTTTTCCATCAGCTCCATATTGAACAGGGCTGAACCGAGGCGAGATAATGTTCTTGAAGCGGCTTTAGCAGCGAATCACTTCGGAAACGCGAATGACGCTATGTTATCCAGGTTTGGAAATATTTTTATTATATACATAGTTAAAAAACATATATTATATATGTATAGCTTCGTAAGGGAGTACATAGAATCTGTCCTATGTTTATCTTAATTTCAGCAACTAATATAACCAATACTCAAAGTGAGTGTAGCTATCCAATTTTAGAATTCATCGTAGTAATTTTTGAGTTTATTATTTAAAGAAATAAAAAAATCGCTATCCCTACTAATATTATAAATGCGAAAGTAACTCTGTCTGTCTGTTAAACTTTCACGCCTAAACCACTGAACTGATTTTAATGAAATTTGGTACAGATATAGAGTTGACCTTGAGAAAGAACATAGGATAGTTTTTATCCCAGACTTTTGAAAGGTTCTCTTGGAAACGCGATATAACTGAACTCCACGCGGGCGAAGCTGCGGGCGGAATGCCAGTATCAAATATAAGTTAATACTATCTTCATCAAAATTACCTCTTTCAGAAGATTAATTAATACATATACCATACAAAAATACATTTATTTTTAATTATTATAAGAAAAAAGATCGTAATAGTTTAGTTAAACTTGCAATACATTTTACGGTTTCAAACCTACAGATCGTACATTACTTGGCTTGGCTTGGCTTGGCCAGTACATTTAATATTAACCGCGTATCATGCGGTGTATTAAAACGGATGCAATATCACTCAATACTCAATCAAGCCACAAAACTAATCGCCCTATAGATGATCACTGATCGTCTAAATAAAACTACATCTATAATATTCAATAATATAAAATATAGCTTCAAATATTATAATTAAAACATAATATTTATATGTACTTAAGAGTATTTAGACATCACTGACTGATGAAGGAAAACATTGTGAGGAAACCTGGACTTAAATTATAAGTTTGAAATCACCAACTCGTGATCAAGCGTGGTGATTAATGCTCAAACCTTCTCCATGTGAGAAAGAGGCTCAGCAAATGCTCTGATAGGCTAAAAAAATTGAAATCATTTATATATAAACCCTAAGTATAAGTAAATTTTATTTTTAACGTAAACTTTTACGTTTTTTCTGTTTAAATCTCTATATTGAATACGTTTAACTTGTGTTTAGTTCTTAGTCCGAGTATCGATACGCCAGTATTACATTGTAAGTTAGTCCTATAATTTACGTGTATAATAATCTAAGTGTTGGATTTAGTTTAGACCACAACAATCTAACGTACACTTTACAACTAATTGTATATAACGGGTAAAGTCAGGTAAAGGTAAGGTAAAAGATATAAAGTAAAATAAATTTGTATATATATTTAAGGAAAATTTCTTTGTACAAAAAAGATAAATTGAATATTTACGTATGTTAGAAGAAAAATATTTTCCTCTTATATTTGAATACCTATATTTTAAAATCTTAATAAGCAAATGAAACATACACACACATATATATATATCCAATTTTATTTCTAATATAATATGTAGGATCAATTGTAGAGTACAATTATTAGTATATACAATGATAATGGTTATAAAATACAACATATAATTCAAATATTTTAAATTGTTTTTGAATGCCTAACGGCCAAACGAAATATCAATCAATCAGTTTCTATATATATATAAATAACTAAACAGTATACATATTAAAATTAAATAAAGTCTCGACTGTTTTCTAAATAAAAAAAAATCAAAAAAGGTATATCGGATTTCAGACAATTAAACTCTTTACAATACTAATTAGCATAAAAAAGATTGTAAAAATAATGTCCCTTAAAAGTATAAGATTACACAATTACTTAAGATTTTTTTTATAAACAAGAAGAAAACATTGTAAGGAAAACTTTTTAAACGCGACAAATGACAGATGGCTTACAGCAAAACAAAATGTCGGACACAGAGTCGTAATTAATATTCGAGGGAGGGAAATGTCAAAATGTGAAACGTTTAATTTGGTTGATTAAACACGATTAGCTAATTATTGAATTAACAAGAATTTTTTATAAATAAATTATTAGTAATTTGTCTATTAATTAATAAAATAGAATTCCATTTTGTTATTAAATAACATTGGCTGTATAACATCGGATGTACAACATATAAAACCTCTTTAGTTAAACGCGGGACCTCAATTCAAGTAATCAGTGGATGTCGTGGCCACGTCAACTAGCTGTAAACACAGTCCAATTTGTCTGTGAGCCAGTTCCGAGTTTTACGCATTTCCGTCAGATAAAAGGCCCGTTTTTACCCCGTAAAGGGTAAACATGTTACCCTTGATTAGATGGGGGTAATTCTTTGGGAATAAATAGGTTTTATGTTTGCTAGTTGAAGATTTAACAAGATTACATGTTCGTAAAGTTTTGGGAGTCTTGAGTTAAGACGTTTTCTTGATATGCTTTTAAATTAATTCATTCCTTGAATTTGTAAGTTTAATGCTGAATATAGTTCTGATAAAGTTACTTGACAATTTTGTAATTAATATATATTTGAATAGACTTAGTAACTTGTATAAATTGACATCAGCATTGTAAATTAATAGTAATTGTTTAAACATAAAAAGCTTATCTAATAATATATGTATACACATAATAAAAAGGATGTATACATTAATTGGTCTATATTGGCAGAATAAATATAGACCTTTTCAATGTATTAAAATATTCCTATCAATATAAAATATTTGAAGCTTCGTTACGGAATGTTATTAAAACAAAATATTAATTGAATTCCATATAAAAATCGGAACGGATACAAAAAAACATCGAAATTGGATACGACATTGTCATTCCGAGCGCGTTTAAAAATATTTCACATTCAAAACAAATTTTTAGTTATTTTCGTTTACCGTAAAAAAATTCCACCGGTTATTTAAATAAATCACTCGAACCGGTAAATGGTTACCGGTAATATCCCCGCCGTATAAATATAATGAAGTCTTCAAAAACCCTAACACCTAATAATGCACCCCGCCTTACTAGGGGCTGTTTCACCCTCTTAGTATAAATAACTTAGCGCTGACAGCTTGGCTCAAGACATAGGATGAAGCGCTTTAAGCGATGGAAATGTATGAAAATATATTAAGTATGATTTTCTTCCTTAATTTTGTTATAAAGAGAATTTTTAAGCATATGAAGAAATTTAAAATTTTTATTATGTATTGAAAACCATACGTAAATTTGTATCATATATTAATATTTTTCCCGCCATTAATATATTTTTATTATGGCAACATTTAAATTTAATAGTTAATAAGATTTATAAACATTTCATTATTATATACACGAATTACTTGGTGCACAAACTCAAGCACAAACTCAATGCTTGTGGGCTCATACAATATATATATTAATTTGTATTAATTCTATATATTATGTTTACATATATATATAGTTTTTTTAATAAGGTTTTATTTGTAATTCTTTCCGCTCCACTCGTATGTCATCCATACACGAGGGTCGCTGTTATCCTTCAAGAGTATTTAAGCGCCATTTTTCTTACCTTCAAAAATACCTTGAGATTATTTATTTTTTGTTACTGGCAATGTTTTGTAATATGATACGGGATTTGTGGTTTTATTGATTTTATACAGTGTTTAATTTATTTAAAAGTACTAATGATTGAAGATATTAAGTTTTAATATATTATTATTAAGATAAAGAGGCAATTATTACAAAGAGGCCGTATGTAAGCCTTACACCATTGTCACAAGAATACTAAGTGTTGCCATTGTACATGAACAGGAAATAAAAAGTAAAAGAAAACGCTTGCTTCGGTCCAAGCGAATGCAAAGAGGTTTTAATATGTGTCTCATACGAAAATAAATGCAACATGGAAATCCTAAACCTATTGTGGAGTGGAAATATTTATACAACAATGGATGGTTTAAAAGATGGACGAATTTATAAAAATGGCTTCCTAAAGATGTGGTTTGGTATATCTGGCTTGGCAAGAATTGTTATTTTATGTTAGAAAATATTGGGATTACAGTTTTATTTAGAGATACAAGTAAGCTGAAAGATATTTCTCTTAAAAGGAATAGAAATTTCATTAGAAAAGAACTGTGATGTAATCTATATCATATCGACTGTTAAGCTGAAAAGCTGCAGACTGAATGGCCGTTGTCGCCATATTGTTGTCAGCAACTTAGGAAATAAGTGAAAAGATATCTGTAAGAAGCTTTTAAACGCGTCCGAGAATACCTCCCTATCTGTTAAACCAACAAAAGGCTCCCGTGTCGCTTGCACGGACAACAGATACAACTAAACACTTTATGCTATAAAAGAAAGTACAAACGCCATTATTAGTAACAAGCGGAGAGTGTCGGGCGGACGCGCCGCGGCAAAAAGAGTGCGCGGGTGACGCGCATCGATTTTTATACCCCACAGGAGGGGCGGGGTCATGAACCGGCCAATCAGAGCGCGGTGAGCCGACCAATCACGCCGCGGCTTCTTACTTTCAGCTTTTAAAGGAAGCAGTACTTTATAGAGTAATGGAATTTGAGTTTGGAACTTCTCTGCGGGGATTAAATGCGGGACCGATGCAAATTGGTACGGCCCGGAGTTTTTTTATTCGATTTGATATACCGTTTATTAGCGTGTGCGTTTTGAATTATGAAAAAATACGTAAAATTTATATGATCTTAGAATAAATGGGGATATAAAGTGATGTTTTATATGAGGGGTGAAATGTATGCGATAAATAAGAATGCCTTCAGGCAGCGATGTGAATACACAATATGTTATCGATACATTTTTTAATCCCAGTCAACAGTGAACGGTTGAGTAGCGTTTGTGCTACGCCGTAGCGCTCCGTAGACAATGTAGCATTGATCGTAGACGATGATTATCTTTAGAGATTATGGAACAACTATTTGATATTTATTATTCAATATTAATATTATTTTACACGAGTTATAAAAATTAATAAATAAAGTATATTATTTTTATTGTAATGTGTATGAAATTATTTAAAATTAATAAAAATTATATACATACATACAAAATATTAAGATTTTCATACATATATATAAAAAAATATCGTCTCATTAAACTATAATATGTAGGTCTAAACATTTTCATCTATATGATTCGTTTATCGATAACAATGTATGTATTCCCGTCTCTATTCCGGGGAGAGCTTCAATCCTCTTTGTAACAATCGATATCGATACCAGAGTGAACCGGCTCGCACAGACAAACACACAGACACATCTAACTATATACTTATATTGTATGCTTTATACATATATACACATATATATATTTTAATATTTTGTTAAAATATTTAAAAATATTTTCATAATTTATTTCAATCTGTACCGATATATGTAGAAATCAAATTTATACACAATATATAGTTATCACATTTATATACGTAGTAACAAAATGTAGGTTGTACTGTACTGAGTAAATGATAACTAATGATTGATTACATACTTAGATTTATCGCTCTGTAGTAAAAATTTATTGTTTAATTTCTTAAAACACTTATTAATTTTATAGCACACGTTTTTATTTTCATTTTTTCTAAATAAATCCTTATTACGAACTAACTAGGAATAGGTTCGTCGTTGATTTGTACGCGGTAGAGGTGGGAGCGAGAGGTATAACAGTTAAATCTCTCTATAACCTACTAAAAGACTTGGGCTAGTCCAGAACTAACATTAATACATTCTTGGCACGTACATCGAAGGCAGACCTAGTAGGTTCTTATCAAAGGTAGAGAGAGGAGCTTGTACGGTGGAGGTGAGCGTTTAACGTTAGATAGGGTCTTAAACCTACACCTGTGTCACAAGTCCCAGTCACTGTTGAAGCTCCTCTCACTACAACGATGGACCCGACACACGCATATGAATACATTGAATGATGAGATATTTCGTCTATATATATGTATTTGACGAATGTACATATTATACCAAAGATATTAGATCTATTTTAATGTATCTGATAGTCCTAATTATAATGGTTTTTACTTATTAATGTTAATTGTTCCAGATTGGGTCTGATCTCTCAATGGAGCGCGTTGGCCGGTCGTTATGGCGGCTTGGTGCCAACTCCTTGGTACTGGCAACGACCTCACGAGAGAACTCCACCCAGAGGTGAAATATATAATATAATATATACATATATACTATGTACATATATATATAGGCTATATAGGCTAGGTATTATAATTTTATTAATGTAAGCGAAAATCACTGTCTATATTGACACAAACAGACATTCAATGTTGCATATACCTATTAATAAATTAGTTAGTACTATTATGTATATATATATATATATATATATATATATATATATATATATATATATATAGGGGAGAGTCGGATATATCGTACCACTTTTCACTTTAACTCAAATATTTCGACTATAACACGTCTTATAATAATTAATACATATGTAAAATAAAGTTTCATATTTTAGCTTCCTTAGAAGAAGAGAACAGATCCTTGCGATTATTCTAACATTGTTAAAAATGCTTTTTTAGAGAGGCTTGCCATCGGTACGATTTAGCCGACTAGTCGTTTTAATCGTACCACTAGATCTTTAAATCGTACCATGGGTGTTTAAGTCGTACCACTGAATGAAAAACATAAAAATTCTCAATCAAATTATTTATTTTTAACTGTTCGGTAAGTAATAAAACAACATTATTTATATCTTTTAGGTAATAGAAACATAATTTTTAACTCTTAGGTTATATAAAGGAACTATAAGTTTTCTCAGTAAAATAACATGATTATACTATGATAATGAGATCAATCAACATAACTAATAAAAATGAGACAAAAAAAAACAGTAAACTATAATAATAAAGTAACAGTTAACAAGAATGTTATTTGTAATATAATTATTGTACATATTTCCTAATGGAAACAATCATGACAAATGTCTGGATTCGAAGTAGGTACATGTCTCATGTACCCACCGTTTACAGCGAACGCATTGAATCCAATCAACTTTTGGACCCTTCTTATCGTAGTAAGAACAATTGTTCTTTCGACATATATTTTCAAGATAATCATCGCTGTCATCATCATCATCTAGTTCTACAACAAGTGTCTCTCCTGAATCATCGCTACTGGTGATGGAATGAGATCGTTTCCTCTTATAACTTTTGTTTTTGGCCTTGGGTAGTACTTACTAAACGTACTTGCGGTAGTACTATAGGTACTTGCGGTTGGTTGTCGGGTAAATCGTACCAGTACAATTTAACCAACTGCAAGTGGTACGATTAAACCAACTAAGGCATTTCTAAAACAAAAGCAAATATCCGGCATAAACTCAAAACTTAGACACGCAACAAAAACCCCCAATAATCTAGTATACAATTGTGAAATAATAAAAAAAAATGAATAACTATAGCTTACCTTGATTACGAGTTATCTCCTTACGAATGTACGAAAATATTTATATTAATTCCTACAAAAAAATGTTTTTCTTTTATACTTGCACAGTTATTAACTTACGTTGATTTAAACTAGTGGGTGAAGAGGGATGGTACAGGGCCACGTTTTGGCGTTGTCAGTGTAGAAAAAAATATTCATTAAATGGGAAATTTAGAAGTGGTACGATTTAAATGCTAGTACGATATAACCAACTCTCCCCTATATATACAGGGTGACTGGTGAATTACTATCAATATTTAAGGAGCATACTCGGTACATGATTCTCATTCGAATTATGTAAAAAAAATAGGTAGTTAATTTTTGACCAAATTTCCGTATAAATAAATAAAGTGTTGACACGTTCCAAGTGTTAAAGTGTGGACGCGTGCGGCGGCGTGCTGATACAACACTACGTCACGACACGCGTATGTGTGAGTGTCAGTGTATACCTAATCTGTAGGGTGTTCATACGATGTGTAATTAATTAGATAACTTTTGGTTAACTTTATTTAGAAGTTTATTAATATTTATGTTATATTAATTTTTATTTTGTCATATATGATCGTCAAATATCACGTCCTCAAATATTGATAGTAATTCACCAGTCACCCTGTATATATATATTCGTCAGTCGCCATTCAGACTTAGCACGGTAATCAAGTGTTAATAGTTAAATTATGATATAACTAGCTGACCCGGCAAACGTTATTTTGCCATAAAAAAGGAGGAATGGTGATAAAAAAATACAAATTTTGAATTGTATGTAATTTTAATGCTACATTATAAAAATAACAAATTTCTTCCGAATATAAAAAAATTAAGGATCACTAAGAGGTATCACTTATCACTAAGAGGTATGAAAAATAAATGTTGGCCAATTCTCAGAACTACTCAATATGCTGACAAAATTTCATCAAAAATCGGTCCATCCGTTTCAGAGGAATTCTCTGTCTAAAACGGCGACATATATTTACATATATTTATTATTAAATTGACGTCACACAAACTACGAGACTATCAGTCAAAATATAAATATTATTATTCATTGAAGATAATTAATAAATTTTTAATTAGACTTTATATTTTTAATATAAATCCGAATTGAAAATATAGTGATATTTATATGAATACAGTTTTAAGTATTTCTTATCAATAATAATACTTTTCTCGTAAAGAAATAACTATGATATTGGTTGTTTAAAATATGTCCTTCATCCGTGGAAAGACGTACATAGTATATTTTGAAAGTCGTGTAGAATGGAGGAAAATGACCAAGTTATTATAGAAAAGTAATGTTTGAATCCAGAATTATACATAATATTTTAAGGATATTAATACATAGCAATAAGTCTGTGGTGTCCTAGTGGTTAAACGGCCCGCCTCTCATGCATAAGGGCGCGGGTTCGATCCTGGCAAGCACCAATGTGATTTTTCCGAGTCATATGTACTTAAGAGTATTTAGACATCACTGATTAATGCATTCCCAAAGAGGGTTGATGTCTACGGCGGCCGGTCGTAAAAACAAATAGCCAAAACTATTTACAACATGTAAGGCAGACCCTGGCTATAGCTGGAAAATTGCCAGGTAGAAGATATTCTGTTCAAATAATAAAATTATCATATACAATTTTCGTAATATATATGAACATAAATCCTTTTAATACATTAAAGCTTACTTTAAATAGATGATAATATGTTTTAGACATGAAAATTATTAATATGACATCACCTACATGTCATTATGACACGACCTGACGTTACTAGGGCCTCGCGATCGATTTGATAAGTCGCTCCAAAATATTAAATAAATTATATATATTATAATACTAGATTTTGCCCGCGACTTCGTCCGCGTTAGTTTCGTCATTAGTAATATATGTATAGCTGACCGGGTGAAATCTATTCCGTTTTAGAGGCCATTAATAATCAGGTTTCTTCTGTTTCAATCGAACGGAATGATTGACATATTAGTTAGTTGTCAAATCTAATGTCAAAGAAAACGTTTGTAAGGGAAATAGAAAAGAGTTGTTTTTATCGTTTTCCCAGTAATGAATCAATTTTTTTCAGCTTTTATACCTTCCCTGAACCTCCACGAACATTTCAAGACTAAGATAAGATAAATCCGTTCAGCTGTTTTCGAGTTTTAGCGAGACTAAGGAACAGAAATCCATTTTTATATATATAGAAGATTATTATTTATATATATTATGTCAATATAGAACAGCTGATTTTAGTGTTAGGTTGCGTATTGATCGGTAATAAAGAAGGGTTGCTAATGTAACCTAATAATTAGTATATATTATCTTATTATGTAAAAATATCGTTAATTTTCAAATATAAAGATTTAAAACCGTACTTAAAAGATATTTCAATAGTGATTGAATGTATAACAAATCGTTTTTATGATCAAACATGTCTGAACTATCGGTAAAATCAAAGTTATAATTCCCGTCTTCCATTGTTTCCGCTCCAAGCGCCAACTTCTCACATTCACATTTTGTATGTTAGCGGGCTATATTTATGGTAAACAAGCAATCGTCATCTGCTCCCTCAACCCCGCTCATTTCGCTTTAATTTTCCAAAACCCATCTCGAGGGAAAACAAAGCGTACGCCATTTCACGCGGTCCAAACCGAGCGAACAATGCTTTTCAGCGAACCTACTATATTTATATATACTGACGACACTGGAGAACTGTCAAACATACGTCCGTCCCGCTCGCGCCCGCGGGCGATACTGAAAGCTATGTTCGTTGGATGTACGCGGTTGTTTTAATTTTCGAATGCGGTTTGTTCGGATCGCTGTGAGTGCATTTGTTTGCCGCTTTTTTTTTTTTTTCACGGTGATCGAAGTCGGCAACGACAGGAATTAATGCTCCAAATAAATACTCTTTTTTTCTTTTCTATGTCGCACATCCCGGAGTTGCGTTTGATTGAAGTTTTATTACTGTCTGGATGATACTTGTGTTTTAAAATCTTAATGTACATTTTCAAATGTACGTTCGTAAACGAGCGGCGTATTCGTTAATTAATACCGTGTTATTAAATAATTTCTAAACGCAACTCCATATTCATAAACTGCTTAACTAGTAAGCGTTTGTGTAAACAGCAAACCAACAGTAACAAAGGATTACCTGATACGGCTTCTAAAATCGATTCCAATCAGTGTTCGAGCCATTTAATGAGAACCATTTTGTCTATTGTAGTGCTAACAAAAGCGGCTCTTGTTATGCTGGTAAGTGATCCTAAAAGATAGACAAATTGGATAGGCTAATTTGAGCCTTGTACTTATATAATAAGGTATAAAATCCATTGTATGTAATTGAAGTGTTCCCGATTCGATTGTAGTGATTCATTCAACAGCGTTGATGACATTTGAGTTCGCGCCTTCTTGTTCCGTTTGAAATTGGAATAACATTCTTGTGGTTTTGAATTAAAATGTCGAAAGTATTTAGGTTATTGTAATTTAATTTTCATTTTGTGTTAGAAAAACTTAATTAGATAACAAAATATGTAAATAAGGTGATATTTCTTATATTATGATTTTTACAATTACAATTATAGCCGATATTTAAATTATATTAAGCTTATATTACAACATGAATACTTATGTTCTTTTTTCTATCTACTTAAAAAACAAAAATCCGTCAAATTGCCTAATCACAGGCGTCAAAGTTACCGATAACATACACGTAACATGATACTCCATGTTAAAACCTGTCGATATACATATTTGTACGGATTCACTATCAACTAATGTTTAGTTCGTGTGTTCATATATGATAATTTGTTTCAGAGGATTCAACTACTAATGACGATAATTCCGCCGGCGGGTCTCCTCGGCCGCGTAGTCCTATTCGAGCCCCCTCCCCCCCCTCGCCGTCCAATTCCTCCCCGCGCTCCCCGCGCCTTCATCCCGCCTTATACCCCCAACAGCCGGAAATTCAAGATTCAGACGCCGATGTCGACGAAAGCGACGACTTCGACAAAGACGAAAAACGCGACCAAAACTCTAGTCTTGGAAAACGTAAGAAGAAAACGCGAACAGTGTTTTCTAGATCTCAAGTATTTCAACTGGAATCGACGTTTGATATGAAGAGGTATTTGAGCAGTTCTGAACGCGCGGGGCTGGCTGCTAGCTTACATTTAACGGAAACGCAAGTTAAGATATGGTTTCAAAACCGTCGTAATAAATGGAAGAGGCAATTAGCGGCGGAATTAGAAGCGGCTAATATGGCGCACGCGGCGCAGAGACTTGTGCGCGTACCGATTTTATATCACGAGTCTAGACCGACTTCAATCCCGCATACGCCATTACCGATTCATCCCCAGTTCAACGAAGCTTATTTCCAACCTCAAGCGCCACAGCCGCTGCAGCCGCTGCCCTCATCACCGGTAACGTCTAGAGCGCCGCTGTCGAGTCTAGTGTAGTGTCCGCTTGAAGCCGCTGAAAGGTACAGCGGTAAGACTAGCGACTAGAAACCAAGGTCAAAGAATGCCAAATTAAGATCGTTATATTTATAATAATTATCGTGAGTAGCAAAATAAATTTTTAATTTATGTATTTATGTAACGTACAAAATCGTTGTCATTCCACCTGTTGTATATTATTGTAAATAGTGATTTAATTAAATAATTAATAGTACATAATAATTAATAATAATTATAATAATGTTTTTAAATGTTCTTGTATTTATTCTGTGCTAGCTGATAATGTAAATAGTGTACAAGCGACTCTAAACAGCTTCCGGTTATGTTGTTATTTTATATTTATATACAAAATCTGTTATATTATATTATTTCAATAAATAAATAAATTTTTTTTTTTGTTGAATAAATTGTAATTTTTCGGTAGTAGATGCTAGCAACCCCGAAACTAAGTTTAGTGATAATTTTGTATATTGTTGCCATATCGCATATGTCAGTGTAATTCTGTATTGCTAGCTTTATGCTTCACGAATATTAATGTTAAACTAGTAACTAATATATATTATAACGCTGACACGAAGCTGTGAATAAATGAACGATAAATATTATTGTTTTTATTTTACCTCTATCTAGAAAAAAATAATTAAAATTTGACCCTTATAAAACGATGATAAATATTTGAAGAGAGCTAAGCGTCGCGACACGTTTAACACTTCCGGTCAACACCGCACACGTCCGGCCGGAAGCGAGGGTAGATTTACACTTGTTATCTATATTGTTCAATCAAATTTCTTTATAATTACAAACAGCATAATAGGTCAAACAGTCAAATAAAAAATAAATAGCTATTAATAATTAATTAATATAATAATTAAGTAGATAATAAATTGCTAAGATGATCGACACAAAGTTAATGGATTACAGCCGATTAAAACAGTTTAGCCGAATTAGTGGTAACGTTTTCTAGCCGATAGTCTTTTAGCCACTTAGTTAAAATCCTATTAACAATTTTCTATACTAGCCAGAAAGCATTAATACAGCTATTTTGTAAAATTTATCAATTTAATTAAGCGATTCGCCATATTAGTACTATTGCCAAAGAATATTATTACACTAAAGAACGCTAACGGCCAACGGTCACGTGACCACGCCATAAAGCAATTTCGTTTTTATCGCCCGGTAATACAGATTACATTGTTTTATCAGCCCTCTAATTACTCTACGCGGAATCGGTATACATTTAACACAATGGAAAATGAACACTATTTCTATTAACAACATAGTTCAAATTTGTATGACATAAAATTCTAATCATGTAATCTAGTTTGGTTTATAGGAAATCTAACCGTAATTGTATTGTGATAAGATTGAAATTCAACTGTCAGGGGAGGTGTCATCTATCTCGCATTAGATCGTTCCGGAATGTTAATTTAATTAAAATTGGAACGTTTCGCCGCGCGCCTCGGTTGGATTTGAGTTCATTATCGAAATTGAATTTGGAATGCCTTTTTGCTGACGGTCAAATGCATTGTTTCGAATGTAATAAAATAATATACATATATGAGTGTTTTGTTTGTATGGAATGTTCATAAATATTTTATTAAAATGTTTTAGTGAATTTATTTTCAAGTTCAAGATAAATTAGTTAAGATATAGCTGTCATTATACTTATAATATGTAATAAATCGATCTTTAAGCTATTGTAATAAAAACAATAAGACTTCAGAAAGTGTGAAGAGTCAATAATCATAGAAACTTACCCATTTCTTTATACCAATAGATTATACTTAAATGTACATTAAAGTAATATTATCACCATATAAATTATAAATAATAATTGCAGTCCATAACAGATAATTTATTTGTAATACATCCCGCGGGTTCATGTATGTATGTGATAATCGAAATGGCGGCTAATAGCGGGCTCACTGTCAACCGTGTTTGTTTTTAAAACTTGTAATTATTCAAATTTGGAATGGCAGATGTGTTCGGATGCGTTAATCGATTCCCGACGCGTCTCACGCAAAACTCTTCATACAATATTAAACTTTATAACATTATAATAAGGTTTATTTTTGTATGGATTAAATATGATAGTATTAAACCTCCTTGGTATGAAATTTCGTGCTTTTTTAATTGTCTGTTTGCGTTAAATTAATGTTGTTTTTTTTTGGGTGAGTATCCGTTGCATTTAGATTATTATTATTTTTTGTCATGTTTAAGGTAATATTTACAATGTAGTTAATGGTCTGTTTAATTTCAATGGCTTGTTATTAAACTGTTTAATGAGACGTGAAAAGAATTTCAAATCTTTTGTATTAAGTTTTAGGTTTTTTGCATAAATGAAACCTTTTTGGTACATAGTGAGGTTGTATATGTTATTAAAATTTGAACTTAAATTAAACTAACTCGAAATTATCAGATATTCATAATTTTTGACGAATAATTTTATGAAGAAATTAATAATTGAATTGCTTGTATATAAAATTGTACTTTACATATCGATATCGACATTATTATCATCAACCGCTTTAAAATCGTAGTTCATTTGCATTTTTTTAAGTACAATATATTTCAACTGTCACAATATCTTAATATACATATAAATTAAGATTTCTCAGTACATCAGTAGTATTTGAAATCCATTTTAAAGTCTTTATCCATTTAAGTGACCGAACCTTAAATTTTGTGATAATGTTAGTATGGCGTGTTTTGAAAGAATTTAAATTTAAGATTGAGATTGAGTTATTAAAAAACATGGCTATTGGCTATTATCTATATTAAAAATGCTATACAAATTTAATTTTATTAAACAAAACAAACATTTAAAATGATCATATATTAAAAAAATTTATGAAAAAACAATTTAATTTAACATAATTTCATTCGAAAAAGTAATAAAAGGCTGTACCTATAAATAAATAATAAAAAAAAAACATAAAAACTTAAAATATATTTGACCTTGAAGTTAAGTAGAATTATAAAACTTAGAGAAAATATCACTCACTCATTTATATGACAAATGTGTATATACATAAATATTAAATATATATAAATTTTATAACAATTTAAAACATATATGTAGAAGAGTATAAACATAATTTATTACATAGATAAGTATTCAAATGAAAACAATAATTAGTTATCAGTTTAAAAAATTAGGTAAAAAAAAAAACAATTAATTTACCAAATTGCATTAGATACATTAGCATAATGCAACAGACGGATTAACAATAAATTAACTTCATTATTAGATAACGGTTACCCCACACAGGGTAAAGGTAACTCGGGGGTAAAGCGACTAAGTTAACTTATAAATAAATAAATTTTATTTTCATTATCATCATTCTGCCAAAAATGGCGGGAAAAAATAAAGTAATTTAAACACAAAATGGCGTTTTGAAATACGACTAAACCAGTAATGATCACTTAGTGCGCGCAATAAGACATTGTAAGGGCGTCCCGATGTTTTATGTAAAGGGTTTTAATGAAATCCATTTACAACTAACAGACTTAGCTCTTTATACTTCCACTAAATTACTCTATTTATGTTGTAACGCAATGTTACTTACTGTACAAGAAAATATTTATTTAATACATTTTAAATATTAAAAACTTTTTCTATTAAATACTCTTTTGTTATAGATAAAAATCTCTTTTTAAAAGTTTTGAAATAGGAACCGAAGTTTTTAAAACAGAATATCAATTCCTTAAAAAAAATTGCGCCTGCGATTTTATACTTTATGTACATAGAAATAAGGTTTATGTTTTTTTTTCTTTTAAGGTGTCAAAGTGACGACAATATGAACGCCATTATGCGTCACATTTAAAAACATTCGATTCTAATTTCTGATTCTTTATTGGGAGGGACGAAAGTTTTTCACTTTATTTATTATTTTACAATATATAGAAATTAAAAGTAGTTATGGTGCAATATAATTTATTAATAGAAATACAAGTATATTTAATTGATAAAAAGATTAATTTCAAACAAAATATTTAACACGAACGCAATTAATGAATTAATAATTCGTTATAAAATAAATTGTAAATGCTAAATGACAAATTGCTGTTTAATATTGTATCTGTAACGCGATAAGTTGTTTTAATTATTTTATCGCTTGTAAGTGCGGTGTCAATTGTCGTATTTAAGGTTGTAAACGTGTTTAATATGAAATATTTACGTGTTTAAATTATTTAATCTTATCGTTGCACCGTTTTAATTTAATAAATACTATTAATTTAATTTTCTGTGTTATATTTTCAGTATAAATGTTTCCTTGCAATACTTACTCGCTGTCACAAATGAGGGGAGTGTCGCATGACACCTACCGATGTTTTGAAATTAGAACGCCGCACTCGCAACTTGAACCTACGAATTACAATTTAAAAAAAGAACGGCCCCGCTTCATTCTTTTGCTTCTGTTGACAAACTTTATTATAACACCTATATATAACTATTTAAACGAAACTAAACCTTATTACTATACAAATAAGATTAATGTATATATAATTATGTTCATAATAAAATTGTCGGATCACACAAAAGCGTTTATTTTTCTCTTTGTCCAGTATTAACGCGTCGATTTGGGCGTTAAGTTCCTTTTTTGAAAAATGAATAGGTAAATACTATCGGGTCATGTTGCAAAGCATTTAAGTATTAGGACGCTGATTTGGGAGCGTCATGTAAAAATGAGTTTTAATCATATATAATAAGGTGTATTATCTATTGTAGAATATATTGGGAATAAATTGAGATAATGGGCTTAAGGAATATTATTTAGTATTGATATGTAGTTTTTGTTTTGAACTATTTTATATTTTAAGTTATCGTTTCATCTAATGGCGGGACAGATGGTCAGAACTCAGATGTCACCATTAAAACTAAAGGTGACAATTCCCCTAATTCTATGTTTAATTGGTCGTGTGCTTAATAATAGTAACACATTTTGATGTAGTTTTTTAAAATATTAGTATTAATTTAAAAATGGAACGTTTTAAAA